GTTAGGGTCAGGGTCAGGGTTAGGGTCAGGGTCAGGGTTAGGGTTTGTCTATTGTTTTTTCTTTTTTTCCTTTTGTTGTTTCTTGTGTTTAACTCATTGACTGCCAGCCATTTTCAGAACAGAGAGTCCCATACTGCCAGAGTTTTTTGAGAATTTTGACTGATTTTTCAAGAGCCACAGAATAGTTTGTGCTATGACTATGTAAACACCGAACACACCAAAAGAAAGAGTAGACTCTCTTCTTTCATCAGGAAAAAAGATTTTGTTTCTACCTTATTCCGTTCTTCTTCGACGTGCGTCTCACCAGCGCCATTTCTCTCATAGCGAACCATTGCGTTTGTTTTTATTTGCTTACAATCTATGCTAATCTCCCATCAAAAGTGGCACAGCTACCTAGAGGGTCAATTTGTTAGTCCATACTCTGTCTAGAAGCCGATATTTACGGAAAAACTTTCGCCGATCGTCCCCCAAGCCACTCGCATTGAAAAACATAAAAGACGTCTATAGACGTCTTTGGCAGCGAATGAGTTAATGTGGACAATTTACCAAAATAAAGTGAAAGTGAAGTGAAGTGAAGTGAAGTGAAGTGAAGTGAAGGGTTAGGGTTAGGGTCAGGTTCAGGGTTAGGGTTAGGGTCAGGTTCAGGGTTAGGGTTAGGGTCAGGGTCAGGGTTAGGGTTAGGGTTAGGGTCAGGGTCAGGGTTAGGGTCAGGGTCAGGGTTAGGGTCAGGTTCAGGGTTAGGGTCAGGTTCAGCCTGTAGGAGCCTCGGTTTATATTCAACTCTTCTCACATCAAGTCGGATTAGGTCATGTGACTAGCAGCTTTCTGAGGTGGAAACAAAACTTTACTGTCTATACGAAATCGGAAGATAAACGATGATCTAACCCTAACCCTAACCCTAACCTTAACCCTGATCCTAATCCTAACCCTAACCCTAACCCTAATCCTAATCCTAATCCTAACCCTAAACCTAAACCTAAACATAACCCTGACCCTAACCTGAAACTGCTCTGTTAGGAGGCATCAGCAGCTAATAGAAATGGAGGAAAAAAAGGAAGGCTCCATTAAAGAATAAAAAAATCAATGCTTTAACACCTGAAATGGTGCAGAGACAAAGGCTGCACGGGGGGTTTGGGGTTTGAATCCCAATGGGGGGGGGGGGGGTTGTGTCTGAGTGGAGTGTGTATCTTCAGATGGATGAACAGCAGCATAACACATTCAGAGCATCTTCTCGTATGTTCAGTCTAAGCAGAGCAACAGAAAACTGGAGAAAGAGTTAAAATCGCGTCAAATTCATCAGCTTTAGGTCGGTAAAATGGTTTCAATATGATGACAAAATTTATGGAATTACAGGAATTAGAAGTGAGTTACGAGGAGGAAAAACCCCGTTAACTGTGTGTTAACAGAGTTCACACGCTGAAGTTTGTGTCTGCCCCCCCCCCCTCCTCTGAGATAGAGTCAGGGAACCATCCTTTGTAATCTGAATTTCCATATTGTGGGGGTTTGGGGCCCAGTGTCCTGGAGGCCGTCCAGTTTGTCATCGGTGGAGATTTGGGTGCATCAGTGTCTCATTTGGCAAAAAAATAATGATCCGAGTTCTTATTGTGAGCCGTGTTAGCCTCAGGAAAACTGTTTAGCTTCATAAAACGGGTTTACAAACCTCCTTAGTGTTTAAATGGAGGATTTCTGTGGTTAAGGAAAGGAGTCACAAAGCCGGGAGGTTTGTTTTTTATCTTTATTATTTGGCTGAAGAACCACAAGAGGGAGACGGAGCACCGACTGAGAGGATTCATATGAATAACCAAATAATCTTCATTCAGATCCGTTATTACTCAAATGTGCTGCGGCTTTTGACAGAAGATAATAACGACACAGTGAACAGACTGGAAGTATCTGTCAACTCGACATGTTTCCTTTTTTAAATGGTTATTGTTGTGCTCTGGAACCAGTTTGTCTCTGAGATGAGCTGGAAAAAAAAGCAGTTCAGTTATCAAAGAAAGGGAAGTCTTCTTTTCTTATGAAAGGAACAGGCCAGGTCCTAATTCATGCAGATGACAGGAATGTGGTAACAAATGGTGTGTGTGTGTGTGTGTTGACCTAAAGGTGGATCTAATGCAACAGAGAAAGAAAGAAGAGAGAAAGGAAAAGAGAAAAAAGAGAGTTTTTGGTCACAGCCAGAGACTTTAATACAAAATATAGTTATAAAAGAAAATAAAACAGTCATTTACATAGATCATGTGATAGCATACTATGCTAAAGTGAGTAATTATAGCCAAATTCTAACAAACTCTTCATACTTAAACATATTTACTGGTTCAGGCCTCTCAAATATGATGTTTCTTCTATCCTGAGTTGTATTCTACTGTGTTTTGAGACATTTCTGTGATAGCATACAATGCTAAAATGAGTCATTATAGGCAAATTTCAAAAGGAGCGTTTGAGGTCCAGATGAGGTAAAGATTCTCCCGTTTCCTCTCAGACTTCTCGTTACCTTTGTTTGCTTTTTCTCCCGGCAGACAGGTCCTAATTCATGCAGATGACTTTGGAATGTGGTAAAAAAAAAAAATGGTGTGTGTTTGTGTTGACCTAAAGGTGGATCTAATTTAACAGAGAGAGGAAAAGAGAGAGGAGAGTCTGTGGACACAGAGACTTTAACACAAAATATAGTTATAAAAGAAAATAAAACAGCAATTTACATAGATCATGTGATAGCATACAATGCTAAAGTGAGTCATTATAGCCAAATTCTATTATATATTCACTGGTTCAGGCCTCTCAAATGTGACGTTAAACTAAAGTTGAACTCTCCTTTCATAATTTCAAAAGGAGCGTTTAAGGTCCAGATGAGGTAAAGATTAAAGATTCTCCCGTTTCCTCTCAGACTTCTCGTTACCTTGTTTGTTCTCTTGTTTTTCTCCCGGCAGACATCACTCCCACCATCCTGGACTGGTTGTCGGTTCCCTTCCCGGCCCACAGCCTCCCGGGGGGCCCGGTGCTGCTCACCGGCCGCTCCCTGCTGCCCGCCCTGGTCTCAGAGCCCAGAGACTGGACCACAGTCTACTCCAGCCAGTCCCTGCACGAGGTGGGAACCCTCACATCCAGGTCGGCCATTTTGATTAGGTCACCAATAGGAAGATCCCAGGCAAGAAGATCCTAATTGCTTAGGATAGTGAAATTAATCTTGCAAACAGTGAATTAAACTCTATACATAATATTATGTTAAAGTAGTGGATGTTAAATAGGTTTGTACAATAAGTCCAAACGAGTTTAACCAGAAAATAATTATTTCTCACAATTATGAAGGCTGGAGGGTTAGGGTTAGGGTTAGTGTTAGGGTCAGGGTCAGGGTTAGGGTCAGGGTCAGGGTCAGGGTTAGGGTCAGGGTTAGGGTTAGGGTTAGGGTTAGGGTTAGTGTTAGGGTCAGGGTCAGGGTCAGGGTTAGGGTTAGTGTTATGGTCAGGGTCAGGGTCAGGGTCAGGGTCACGGTCAGGGTTAGGGTTAGGGTCAGGGTTAGGGTTAGGGTTAGGGTTAGTGTTAGGGTCAGGGTCAGGGTTAGGGTTAGTGTTATGGTCAGGGTCAGGGTCAGGGTCAGGGTCAGGGTTAGGGTTAGGGTCAGGGTTAGGGTTAGGGTTAGGGTTAGGGTTAGTGTTAGGGTCAGGGTCAGGGTTTAGGGTTAGTGTTAGGGTCAGGGTCAGGGTTTAGGGTTAGTGTTATGGTCAGGGTCAGGGTTAGGGTCTGGGTTGGTTTTAGGGTTAGAACATTGTTTGTCTTCCGATTTCGTATAGACAGTAAAGTTTCGTCTCCACCTCAGAAAGCTCCTAGTCACATGCCCTAATCAAAATGGCCGACTTGGATGTGGGAGGCGTTGGACATCCAGCCAAGGCTCCTACAGGCTGAGGCTATTCCGTACTAACCCCCCCCCCCTCTCACCCCCCCCCCCTGCAGGTGACCATGTACTACCCGATGCGTTCGGTGCGGCGGGGGCCCTTCCACCTCCTGCAGAACCTGAACTTCCTGATGCCGTTCCCCATCGACCAGGACCTTTTTGTGTCGCCCACCTTCCAGGACCTGCTGAACCGCACCCGGGGGGGCCGGCCCACGCACTGGTTCAAAGGCCTGCACCAGTATTATTACAGGGAGCGCTGGGAGCTGTTCGACACCAGGTCAGGGCCAGGGCCACCAGGGACACCGAAGTCCTATATTAGAGGAGTCCTAATGAAGTGTTAGCTAAGAAAATCCTCACTTTGAGGATTCCTAATGAAATGTTAGCTAAAAAATCTTCACTTTGAGGATTTCTAATGATATAATAGCTTAGAAATCCACACTTTGAAGATTTCTTATGAAATGTTAGCTTAAAAATCCTAATTTTGAGGGTTCCTAATGAAATTTTAGTTAGGAAAATCTTCACTTTTAGCATTCCTAGTGATAAAAAAATCCTAACTTTGAGGATTCCTAATAAAATATTAGCTAAAAAAATCCTCACTTTGAGGATTCCTAATGAAATGTTAGCCTAAAAAAATCCTCACTTTTAGCATTCCTAGTGAAATGTAAGATAAACAAATCCAAACTTTTAGGGTTCCTAATGAAATATTAGGTCAAATAAAAAAATCCTAAATCTGAGGGTTCCTAATTAAATGTTAGCTAAAATAAATAAATACTCAATTTGAGGATTCCTAATGAAATGTTAGCTAAAAAAATCCTCACATTAGGGATTCCCAATTAAATGTTAGCTAAAAAAAAAAACTAAATTTCAGGGTTTCCTAATGAAATATTAACTTAAAAATCCTCACTTTGAGGATTCCTAATGAAATATTAGCTAAAATAATCTTCATTTTGAGGATTCCCAATGAAATGTTAGCTAAAAAAATCCTCACTTTGCGGTTTCCTAATGAAATATTAGCTAAAAAATCCTCACAACTACAGGAAAAGGTTAAAAAACAGTTTTCTTTCAGTGGAGCTGTTTTACACCACACGCCAAATTCACTCACATTCCCCCAAAGTCTTTTATTCCTAAAAGACTTTGACATGAAGCCAGAGGCTGTCGCCATAAATTAAGAAAAATGGCCCAAAAGACCTCGGAGGGGGAAATGCACCTGCCTGGTACGGACATTAAAACAATACTACATCTCCTAAGATTAAAAATGTATTTAATAGGTGAATATTTCATTTTTTAGTGAGACGGCAGATTTTGTGTTCAGATCTTTGAAACAATTATGACTTTGACAGTTTATCAGTTTTATTTCTTCGCTGTTCTGTTAGAAGAACAAAGTTTATGATGCAGTTTCTGACTTTCCGATAGAGGAAAAAAAAGCCCCGTTCTCCAGAAGCTGGTGATTAGTTTTCTTAATGTCTGAGTTTTGGGCTGTTGGTTTTGGATAACTGTTTCGGTCGTTTTTCATGATTTAAATGACAAAATTTGCCGGATAAATGAATTACCTAAATGATCATTAGGGTAGCTCTGCTTCCTTTGTTTGGATGCGATCAAACAAAACTTAATCAGATTATAGTTTTTTTGTGTTTTTTTCGTGTAAAACAAAACTTATTGTCAACAGTTGATCAAACTGGTGGCAGACATTAGCTTACAAACCATAAATTGGCTTTGTTCTCCTGAAATATAACTAGATTCTTAATTAATATTCACCCCAGAACATTTCTTAACTTTGGATGTGATTATTTCAGAAACAGGTTTTTAAAAACTAAAAGTACTTTAATACATCAGTCGGAAACTTCAGAGTTTATTTCTGTGCTGAATTTTGAAAAAATGACAGTGAGAACATAAAAAAAAAAAAGATAAATACCAGTAAAAAATTACTCATGTCCTCCTTAAATGTATATTTAAGGAAACAAGCAGGTCTCAGGCGCTCAGATTCCAGAGGAAAACATCTGGTTTTGCAGAATAGCCAAAAGTCAGAAACATAAAACCACGTTTGATTGAGTTTATTTATTCGTTTATTTGATAGGGACAAGTATGTTTCATGAAACATGTCACACACTATAACATTTTAGCTAAGGCTAATTCTCAATGCCTGTCCCTTGATAGACGACCAAAGAGATGATTTCAAACACTGGATCCAAAAACCGTGTTGGGAGCTTTGGACCAGAGTGAAGCCCAGAAGGCCTTTTAGAAATGAGAAGTCTGATCCAAATAGATGTTTTAATGGCTGAGTCTGGGCTCTGACAGAGACATTAACTCAATGACTGGCAGCCATTTTCAGAACAGAGAGTCCCATACTGCCAGAGTTTTTTAGTATTTTCACTGATTTTTCAAGAGCCACAGAATAGTTTGTGCTATGACTATGTAAACACCGAACACACCAAAAGAAAGAGTAGACTCTCTTCTTTCATCAGGAAAAATGTTTTGTTTCTACCTTATTCCGTTCTTCCTCGACTTGCGTCTCACCGGCGACATGTTCTCTCATATGAACCATTACCTTTTTCTTATTTGCCTACAGTCTATGCTCATCTCCCATCAAAAGTGGCACTGCCCCCTAGAGGGTCAATTTGTTACTACATACTCTGTCTAGAAGCCTGATATTTACGGACAAGCTTTAGCAGATCGTCCCCCAGCCACTCTCGTTAAAAAACATAAAAGACGTCTATAGACGTCTTTGGCAGTCAACGGTTGTATTTGAATTGACGTCTATAGACGTCTTTGGCAGCCAATGAGTTAAATAGTTAAATATTCTCCGTGCCGGATGCAGGACGGACCCCCTGGAGACGGAGAACCTGGCGGCCCTGGCGTCGCACCGCGGCGTGCTGCAGGACCTGAGGCAGCGGCTGCAGAAGTGGCAGTGGGCCACCGCCGACCCCTGGGTCTGCGGGCCGGGCCACGTCCTGGAAAACAGGCTGGAGCCGCAATGCAGACCGCTCTACAACGGACTCTGAGAGCCCTCCCACCCATCCAGACCCTATGAAATACATCAGGTTTATTTGTTCATGT